GGAGGAGGAGGAGGAGGAGAAGTGTCGGTGAAGATGGGCGAGGAGAAGAAGGCGTTTGGAGTATATATGACGCCGCTTAGCGGCGGGTGAACGACGAAGATAACGCACGTCTTCTCGACGACGACGGCGTCGCAATACGGCCATTCTGGCAGCTCTTTTAATTAAGTGGAGTCAGCTCGACTACCCGTGCACTTCTTCGGCGGCTGGTAAAAACTTAGCCGTGGAAGATATTGGGTTGTCGAAGAATATCTTGAGTGATGTATGGTAAAAGCGGGAGAGAGACGTGTGCGCATTGGTTCGAGCTTCGCCAAGCGAATGAAAAATATTACATAAACGCGTTCCCCTTTCGTGTTCCCCCCCGCTCCTCCCTATATTTACCGATAGCCAGAACTGATTGAACACGATTAATTAATTCCCGCGCATATTTGCTAAATATATGAATATTATGATTGTTTCTGATGATTATTTCTGCATATCAAATGCGATATGAAATATTATATAGATTATCATTTTCAAACTGTAAACTCTAATAGTAGAGAACTTGCTTGCTAGAAAACTTCTTGATTCCTAGAACTTTCTTTCATCTCATTTATCATTATTAATAATGAGCCGAATGAAATATTCCGAGTGACTAATTAGTCACCCTGATAGCTAATGTCGCCATCGCGAGTCTTCAATTTATTTCGATAGGTTGTTAGCGTCATTATTAATTGTCGACTGTCGCTTCGTACGTTTCTCTAGTTGCCTCCATCCGTGCAAACAGTTAAGTTAGGAAAGCTCCAAGGGTTTGCAAGCTCAACTGTCTGGCACTCATTATTTCTCATCGTTCAGCAAGTCGTTAATTACTGTCTTCCGTTATATCCCGCGAAAAAGGATGGGAAAGTATTGAAGCTGTCCATTTCTACGAACGAACTTCACTTTGCTATTAATCCGGTTAGAACAACAGTGGCTTGGTAAACATACGCGAAGTTCTCAGAGTTCTTTCTTTTCTCCGTCTACCTCACTTTTCTCGCTCTACTCAGTATTAACTTTTTGCGTAACACGTTCAATTCTCTTCTAACGTTTTATTCCTCATTCTTACTTTCTCGCCTCTCATCGACGGCACTTTCTATCTATAGACATTACTTACTGCAGAATTCACTTCTTACCTTGTTACCTTGCACTAACCATCACAAATCGTCGGTTTGATTTCGCAGATAACAGCGGTCTAATCAAGTAACAGAAGATACGAGTGTACACTTTGTTCCTCGATTTTTCTCTCTTCGGCATTTTTCTCTCTCAAACGTGTTCCGATGCTATTTTCAAGCCAATGTAAAATTTAATTGTTAAGTGATCTTGATGTTGATCAAATGATCTTTTATCGCACGAAATGAATTTCGAGACGTAAATCATCACGCTGCGTAAAGAGGCAAGTTTAACATTTATAGACTATACATCGTGAAAGTCGTGCAAACTGTCCACCGGCGAGGGCGGTAAACGCGCGACGTTAATAATTCTTGTTGCTTCGCAGGACAGGAGTCGGAGCGGAATTTACGACAAAGTTAGACATTCCGCGTTAGAACGAGGTGCGAGACTGAAAACGTCTCTTTCGCCGGAAAACGTTTCCAGCGGGTTCTGCCGCTACGATGGAATGCGACGTCAGAGAAAAATAGGATCGTCCGTGTGCATCACAAGATATTTTTCCTATTCGTTCTACGCATTGTATCGCGATGGGAAAAAGTGACGATATTTGTCATGCATATAATTTGTTTAAAAAAATCTTATTAATCATAATTCTTTTTTTATAAATATAACTAAATGTAAACTATTATTATAATTACTATTAATGCGTATAAGTTTCACGATTGTGTGAATCGCGAAAAGATAAAAGCGCATAACGAACAAGCGTCTTTCTAATCGTCTCGTTCTAGCACGATCTCGTTTGCGACTTCGCCTGAAAGAAAATATTTGATCGCCGCATTTTCCCCTCTAGTTACGCGCACGCTCGTACCTAAACCGATGTACGTAATAGGTAGGTATAAGTTATTTTGCGCGATTGCTCAAAAGCGCCGTAAAATGACCTGAAAGCGTAGGTAAATAGATGTGCCTGTTCGGTTTATTAAAGTCAGAGGCAAGACTACGGCATTAAACCAGGTTGGAAATCGAGCAAAGAAAAATTGTGACCGAAAAACAAAATCGTCGTCATTTAGTGAATTGTTAACATCATTGTTAACATGATAAATCACTATACAAAAGACTATCTACTATACTTGAATCTTTAATTAATAATTTTTTTCTTTGTGCGTGTTACGTCCAAACCCTAAAATTCTTTTCTATGTAAAATCTCGAAAGAAAAGTATGAAATAAAAGGGTTAATGCTGATATTTCATGTAGCGTATGACAAATTATGAAAGATTGAATATATAAAGAATTTATGGAGATTCAAATTCTTCACTATTCTTTCTTATTTTAAGAAATACTATTTTCGTTTACATGTATTTCAAAATGAAAATAAAACGCCAGTGGATTGCTTATGCTATGAGTTTATCTCGCTTATGATGAAAATGAGTTTACTTTTACATGATAAAAGAAGATCATTTTACTAGAAGTCGAAAGATTTGTGAATACATAGAGAGTCTGCTGACTTAATATTACAGCGGTACTAAATTATGTACATAGACATGCATACATGTAGTAGTCGATCTTTATAGTAACCTTGAGATCACCCTGTTGATCGTAGAAGGTTGACGGCGCGAGAGCAGCCTTGAGCCTACGGTTCCTATAGAAGATGAACATGATCGCCGCGAGCAGCATCACAATTACGGTCGTCAAGATGCCGATAACTAAACCGACGAACTGCCTCGATTCTGGCTCCTTGCTTTTATCTGGAACTGAAAAGTGGATATGTGTGTAAACAAAGTGTATCTATATATACGTGTATATATTGTATATATAAACGATTGAAGGTGTATATATAGTAAAACAGATGCACCCGTCATGTTTGGGGATACGGAGGGAATTGATTAGCTCAACGATTAACGGGTTACACCGCAAGCTCAATGATCTTGTACATTGTCACTGGCTTAAACTGCGCTCTAGAGATAATTTGCATTAATTAATCGCAACATCGATTGTAAGTCCTAAGGATTCGAAGCCGGTCCCTAACGTTTAAATAATTGTCCTTTGTGAATCCTTTCGTGTTTTTTTTTTTTTTTTCTTAAACGATTATTTGCTATAATTTAATCGATCATATATTCAGTAATTCTTTCCGTGAGAAATCCTTTTCATCATCTTTTTTATCTTCCTTTATTCCGTATCTTTTAGAATAATAAAAATTAAATGTAAATTAATAAATAATAAAAATTAACATCGAGATTATAATTGCATCATTTAACTTTTTAGTAACTGCTAATAATAATATGATTCTCCAGAATAAAATTTTCCATTTAACTGAAAATCAGGATTTCTATTCTTGTCATTACAATTGATAAATTTTCAGATAATTGTGATTGCCATTTTGAATCAAGCGCAGTGGAATACCGATAATCGTACTGATAACAAAAGAATTTCCTATTAATAATATTTCGATGTTGTTACAGACAGCTGAACCGTGCGTGTACGTGATAGCGAAATCACTCGTCCATGATGCTTGATGCATCAAGCAACACGACCTATCACCGTGGATAATCCTATCACCGCCGAGGTAACCTCGCATAATGTACGATGGAACGATAATGATGATTGCGTTCATCACGAAGCTCGTAACTAGATCACGGTTGATCAGTGCCCGGCTGAACAAAAACAATATTCGCTGATGGCTTTCGTAGTCTACCACAACAGCCTGATCATCGCTCGAGTATTTTATAAATCAATAAACAGGACAAGAGAACGATCTCATAAGTCATTAAGTTATTTCATAATTATCTAATTCCGTGATATAATTGCTCGTTGTCAATATATTTGAAACAAGAGGTTTATACTCAGACTTTTAACATTATTAAATAGCAAAGTCATAAGTACAAAATAATAAATATTTAATTTTTTCACATACAATGATATTAAGGTACTTTATTAATAAATAAAAAAATAATTATTAATAATAAAGAAGAAATTTATCTTAATATTTCTTCATAAAAGATAGAATAATTTACAACGCACGGAGATTGAAATTGAGCCACTAACTTTTTCTGATGAACTGCGATAAATTCTTTTCTTCGTCTTTCCTCCGAATAAAAATATCAGAAAGAAGAGAGGTTAATTTTCCGGATAAAGATATATCTGCGAAACAAAAAAGATTTATCTTGTTTCATGCTCTTGTTAAGTTTTCGTGTTGATCTCCTTTTTCTTTTGCAAACCAATTTTGGTATAATAATGTAGCACAACGGTCAACAAGAATGCAAAATATTATTCTTTCTAATATATCGTTGAACGTTTATTACATTAGTCCGCAGATTATTATCGCGTTCGCGCATTTGTACTTTTCTGCGCGGTGTAATACGTAATGAGTATTTCGTATACACTGTGCTGCAAGTGAGAAAATGTAAATGCCTCGTCCTGCTTTCTTGCGCTTTATCTCGGACGGATTTAACAGACGGACACGCAAAGAGCAATTCGAGCAATCGTATACATAAATATACAAATCTATTGAGCACGCGAATTAGATGCTGGCAACAGTTATGAAGAAATTTCAACAAATCCGACCAGAAATTTCAGCAATTCATCTCCGTGTGATTGAAAGATTTTACTCTTTCGCAGTACAAGTCGCGGAATGTCATCAGAAAGAGAGATGCAAATTAATTCGCCGTCCATCTTATCGTCGAGAATATTAAGTGTAATTAATTAGCATTAAAAGTTTCGTTAATGGATCTTGGTCTTTTTAGTAGTATCTCGATACGCCACGCCACGACATCTCAGTCGAACAGAAAGTTAAGGAATTAATCAGGTTAATTGCGCGGCTTTTGTAAGGATAAAAAAGGTATCGTTCTATTGGTTAACAAACTCAGCGCAGCCAAGGGACAAAAGCGACCATTTTCTTTCATGACATTTCTTTTGCAGGTAATCGAGGACGTTCCGAGGGACTACTCGATGTACTTTTTCGCGCAGTTTTTTCGCTCTCACAAGGTTTTCAAGCCCCATCGTCACCGTTTCTCCATTAATTGTGGTGTAAGGACGCACATCAGAAAGAAGATTTCACCAAAGATGCGGCTTATTACCTTCCAACTTCATACTATTATGACGTCCTGACATGAATCTAATAGAGAAAGTCAATTATCTGCGTATAATATTTTTCAAATTACTATCTCAATGTATCAATTTTTATATTTTTATATTTTTATGTTTTATATAGGTTTTCATGCATTCATTTTTGTCCCAATTTTAGATTTTTTTAATCCAATTCACAACTTTTAATAATCTGAAAAAAACTGAAAAAATTATGTGACATGTGCCCATTCATAAAATATGGGTTCGCGATAAATGTACATTGCATTTTAATAATAAAATATTCAAATTAATATTTCTGTAATAATAAATTATATTTCTGTAATAATAAATAATAAATTGCTAGCACAATCGTCGTGTAATGACGTCCTCTTTCCCGACATACAATTCATTCATGATACATCGAGCTCATTGTTATAAAAGATGACAAGGAGAAAAAGCTCGGTGAAAAGAGCGTCAATTATGCGGAAAATTATGAACGTAGCTTACCGAAATAACAATAGAAAGATCGGACAGGACTTACAGGTGTTATCTTTACTTTCCTCCTTATTAAAAGTAGCCTTCACTTCGTCTCTCTGCAGTGGACCCTCGTTATTTTGATAGGGGCTGCCGGTCGCCAGTACAATGGCGCTCTTGTTCTTCACCTCCTCGTCCTCGGTATTGTTCCATTCGGAGATAACTGTGCATTCAGGATTACAGCTAATGAAATCCACACTCGTCAAGCTCGCATTAAATAGCCGAGCCAAAAAATATCTCGTATCGTACGGTGAGGAAAGCGTTATTGAAGCTAGCTAGATTAATTAATGACTAGGTAAATTCCATTGTAAAATCACCGATAATGCACGACTAATCGACGAGTTATTAGAAGCGGATTTGGTATTTGGCGTTGCGATATCGGCAAAGAGAAATGTGCGCGATACTCAGAAACGTATTAAATTCTGTGCGATGTCTTTTGACGTTTCCGATCGGATTGTACAAAATGTCCTTTGTGGTCATGATGTGGACACAGAGGATTTCATTTGTATGCGGGATAGTTTTCTACGACATCGATCGTTCGAAAACGAACAAATATCGCGACCAGAATTTAATTCGCGTCACACGCAGCTGGAATTTCCCGTTAGGCAAACTGAAAATTAGTACCGCGGCAGTTTATCGACTAATGGACACCGGAAAATATTCCAATTTTCGAGCAGTTAGACGCGGTTCGTACGCGCAATTTATAAAAAGGAAAATTAATCGAGGTGAGGCGCGATTGCCCTTGATGCTTTCGCTGGATGGGGTGGAAGCTCGCGACGCGGCTCGCTCGGTGGAAAACTCGATGTCAGTGCCGAGGGGACGCGGACAAGCGAGAGGGGGAGAAGGGGGGACAGGGGGGCGATATATTTTCCTATCGATGACGCGGCTCAACGAAGCGTTTGTGCGACGTGAATACGAGTTATGTGGTATACAGGTGACGAGGAACATTGGTCGTTTCTGGGCCGGTTGGTCCAACTTATCGCTCGCAGTCAGGAGGAGGGGGGGGGGAGGGGAGGGAGGGTGCGCCGGAGTACGTCGAATGATTAACGACGTACCCACTCCCGCGGTCGGCCTGGTGCAACGAAGCGACACAGAACTTTCGAAAGCTTGCATTACCAGAGACCGGCAGCTAAGTTCCGTCTCGGATCGTTTGAGATGGATTAAAAGAAATATCGGTGATCGATATGCGGTTCCGTCGCATGTCGGATTAAACCAGCTCATTGGCTAAGTTGCCGTAACAGTTGCGTTTTGCCGTTGTAGGGCCGCGGACATGATCCTCTTGACCGAACTTGGAAGACTACGGGAACACCAGTCTTACGCTGGTGCTGCAAAATACATTGTCTACTCTATATCACATTAAAGTGAGAAACGCGCTTTTAATTCCTAGAAAAAATTCATGAAGCTTTCTATCGTGGAAGTTCTAGCGAGCGGAGGAGATTACAGTTTTGATTCTAACTTTGCGTTCGTATTTAAAGAACCTGGAAGTTCTCTTAAATAAGCTATATAGTCGTAATAGCTTTACAAACTCATAAATGTTTAATAAAGTTTACTATTCTTATGCAATTGTAATTTACCGCGTTTCTCGATCGCGATCCCTGTTGATATTTTACGTTCTGTAATACTTTCCGCATATGCATTTCCGATCTATATGGGGATTTGAGTTACTACTTCATATCTAAGCAAACAAAACTATCGTTTCTGCAACAAGTAAAGAAGAAAATACAACAAGCTCGTTTCTGCTTGTGAATTTGCAAAGGGGATGTTTCATCATTTTGGAAAATATTAATCTTCAATGAAATGTTACTAGATAAATTGTGTACTGATGAAGAAATTATGCGTCGTACGTTGTTTAAAAAAAACAATGTGATATTACAATGTGCAGTTTCGTAGAAATAATTTATAGTTAGAAGTGAAATACGCCCGAGTTTTATGTGCCACTTGATATGGTGACAAAGAAAATCACTCGCTTCAGCGTTACTCTGTCGAAGTTATCTTTCGTGAAAGGAAAGAACACAGCGCACTGAGAGAATGATTAACGACGGCTTCGCTCGTCTGGCTCGTGCAACATTCCGGCTTTTCGAGACAAAACTTTTTGAGAGTGTATATCCGAGTGTGCGTCTATGTGTGAATGTATATGTGTGTGTGCGCGCGCGCATGTGTGTATGTGTGCCTGTCTATGTGTGGTAAGTAAGTTTCGTTTCCGGTCCGTGACCACGTGCTCTCATTCGCACAACGTGCCGTGGATACTTCTACTTTTTGCCTTTCGCGGTACTTTAAAGTCAGGCGCACAGCAGCGTGGGACTAAACGATTTCAGAAACTTTAAATGTTTCACACTGTCTTTTATTCGGGATACGATACTACTGTCCGGGCAATTCCGACAGTAAATAGTATATGTAACTGCGAAGAATGTTTTCCTTTTATGCTCGTACATATTACGTTTATTTTATCAAGATCTGTAAAGAAAAGGAGCGAAGTAATAGAAAAGAATTATTTATTTTCATATTATAAGTGGCGAGAATATACGACATAGCACATATGACATAGCATTTATAAATTGAAAAATAATAAAGCTCTTTAGCTCGGTATATTTTTTAAATATCTTGTCTCATTACTTCTCTTTAATCGATTTTGTGTATATTGAATACTTTTTTATATCTCTACTTGAAGTCAGTGAAATTCTCTACAAGAGAAGTTTATCTTATATCAGTTTTAGAGTTGTACGTATCTACCGTACATTTTTCTCGAAACTACCCTACCGTCGGAATAATTTTTCTCTTCGAGTTTCGCGCGCACGAGCTTCGAGACGATTTCCTTTCTGCCGTCTACAATATCGTCGTGCTCATATCTTCGATAAAAAGTATGTCACTTAAAATTGGAAATCATGTCGGATCGCGCGGCCGTAATAAGACGCTTCGAAGCTATTCTATTTTTAGATTTCAATTTTCGGGACCGGCTACTTTGATTTTCCATTTAATTTAAAAGTGCGTTTACAGGAAGGAAGCCGCGCGCGAGAAAGGACAAAATTCCAGACGATGTTTTAGCTTCGCCATTACTTTCGGTCATTGCGAGGGCGCGCGAGTGTTATTGAAAGTAACGCGCGTTCGGGAGATAAATTTCGGCTGCACGTGGGATGGCACGTGGGAGGAAGGAAAAGGGAAGGAAGGAGGAAGAAAGGGAATCGATTTTTCTCTTACCTGATTCGAAGATTACCTCGCTGAGCATGATCCACCGTGCGGCGAAGTAGAGCTGCAACTTTAGGAAGCGGCCGGCGCGCGAATGCAGCTTTATGGTGACTTCGCGCGCCTGCTCGAGCACCTGATCGGGTATGTAAGAGAAATGGACAGGCTCGCCGGTAAACTGGTTACCACCTGTGCCGAGGTAGACCTTCGCGTATGAGAAAACCTGCGAGAACAGCAAAGAGATCGTTGTACGTGCGAGCGCCTTATCGGGAATGGAATCAAGCGATTGGACGGCGCTCGAACGAGGTGGAAACAGTCGCGCGTGATCGTATCGCTTCTTCGTCTTCGGGGATGTCGTAAGACGTATCGTTCATATCGCTCGTAAAATCGAATTAGATCGAACGTATACATAAAGTGCCGTTATATAGCGGCGGAAACACTATGCTCGCTGTGTAATACATTTTAGAGAGATAGATCGCGCGGATGGAAAATAATTCGTCGAGCGAGCGCGAGACGAATTCGCCATCGATGAAAATATTAAGCTCGCAAACAGGCGGCGCCGCCGGAATTGCTGTAAATCGCGAGGAAATGTTTTTAAAACCGCGGTAAAAGCGCGGAGGCGTCGCCGAATGTGTGATCGTGAAATTTACGGTAGTTCCCCCGGAACTCGTAACTTCCGAAATAATGTCGGTAACGGCGCGAAAGGCGATACCTGCACGTCCTTCGTGAAGTAATTGTTCATGTGTAGGTGTATGGCAGTGAAGTTCCTCGAGTAGTCGAACTCAAAAGTTATTTCCACCGGACGTCCGAGCATGTTGGGTGTGTCGTTTCGCCAGCCGACCCATTCATATCCTTGAACAAACAGATTATTCGTTATAATACTTCGTAACTTTGACGAATCCTGAAAAGAAGATAAAGTCAAGTGCCGTTGGTTAAAGCTGGACATCTTTGATATTGAACTTATAAAGTCTCGAAAGATTATTATTGAGTTTACAGTGAGAAGTGACAAGCAAATTCTTCAAATTTTTCTTTAACAAAAAATTATTAAAAAATTTATCAATGAAAATTGACTTTTTATTGAATAATGGTATATGATTGTATACATACAATGTATTACTTATTTGTGATTTTTGTGACGCTTTTTAACAATAATTGAACGTTTGTATGTTACATCAAATTCATCTTTTACATATAGAGAAAGAGAGAGAGAGAGAGAGCGTATCCAATAAAAATTGTAACCTATATATGTCATGTAAAAAGATTCCAATACATGCGTTTGAATTAAAAAAAAAAGTTTTATGTTGCGGGTTGTATGGTACGGTAAACCATTTATAGGTGCGGTGTACGCACCTATAAACAAGACAATAAAATCTGTAACGCGAATAGTGGACAATTCGTGCGTGACATCGAATTTATTTGAATGTAGTGTAAACGGAAAACGTATGCATGAAATAAACAAATGTCTAACATTTCCATGATAAATATATGTTATGTACATATTACATATAAATGATGAATGTAATAATGAAAAACGTAGGAACTTTTTTGTAAATTTTAACTTATTACTTATACTTATTAATGTTTACTTATTATGTTTATTAATGTTTAAGTTCTAATTATGGATAAATCGATTAGGTAAAGCATCAGGGGAGGAGCAGACGAAGAAAGGATTTTATTTTTCCACTAAAAACTTAATAAAAACTGATTTTCAATGAGGTAATACCAAAAGAAGTTTCGTATAACTTAAAGTCTTCCAGGAACGAAGTGCTGTGCTGCCGTTTTACAACGAAGATAACTTAATAAAGGTAACTCGGTAACTTAAATAATTTGCAAGCACGTGACCTTCGCAATTTTCTTGGGATTCAAAGACGTTTTCTGTTATGTAATGCTGCCAGAAGCCGTGCGACGGTGTCCGCTTAATAGAATTTAAATTACCCGTTTCAGATTCGCAAGTTGAGCTCTCGCGTGGGACTCGTATGCTTCCTCGAAACGTTAATTACGTTTCGAGTTTGTTTTCGTGCTTTCTGTTCCTCTCACTTCATTTCTCCCGGAAATGTTCCGCTTGGTATATAGCAGTGCGAGAAGCATGGTACGCGATACGGAAGAGTTTCGAGCTATGGAGCAGCCGCGCGCGGCAGGTTATTGCGCGAGTCTCGCCATTAGATCCCACTATATGAGTACATGTGGAAACACACGTGTCCCGCGGGAATATGCGGATTGAAAATGGACTGCAATAACCCTAAAGCCTGGCCGGCACCGGCGCGTTATGCGTTTCTCAGAAATGTCTCTGTTACTTTCAACATTGGTTCCGAAATCTCTAACTACGCCACGTAGCTGCATTTTTCCATGTGAATGTCTACACGCAAACCCGGCTTATCACTGTTCATCATTTATTGCGCTGCACTCACCGGAATTAATAACGAAAAAAAAAAAAAGAAAGAAAAAAAAA